CCCATCATCTTTCTCCTAATGCTGAAGTAATTCACTTCTCTTCCTTTCCAGTTTCGGAATATTCTCTCTCCTCTCCTCACCCCTGTTTTTTTTGCCTCTCCCCAGGAACAGCCAGAAGGAATGACCCTGGTGAAAGAGGAAGGGGACAAAGATGAAAGCAAACAGGAGCCTGAAGTGGTCTATGAGACAAACTGCCACTGGGAAGGCTGTTCCCGGGAGTTTGACACGCAGGAACAGCTAGTGCATGTAAGTTAATGGTATTCAGGAACTGGGTTTTAAAACTACGTGACCTTTTTCATGGGGGTCGGGTTCTCTGACCCTGTGCTGAGTCAAGTTTCTTAGCTAACAGCGCTGCAAACTGGAGAGGGGTTTATGAGTTTCTGGGAATAAAGAAAACTCAGAGCCACAGTGCTTGACCTGTGCAGTCAGCTAAAGCTTAGTGTAAAATTCAATAAAGTCTTCAACAGAGATTGTAATGGCTCTGATCCTGTAAGCCAGCAAACGCTATTTTGAGTTAGAGACTTTGATAGTTATTGAGTAATAGTAAGCTGGACATGAATGATTATTAACCTTTAGCCAAGTTTGATTTTTTTTTCCCCTCCCCAAAGGGAATGTAACAGTAGAAATGGGTGAGGGGAATTCTTCCCCTTCCCTAAGGGGAGAGTTTGGTACCAATTTACTGTTGTGTGTAAACTGAAGGGGGTTATTTGGCTAAATACATGGAGACTGAGTTATTTCAGTCTTTTTAGCAGCAGCAAACTGTATGGTCTATTTTATGCTACACCAAATATTAGTTGTATCTGTCTTGTTTTTATTTCCTCTCTACCAGCTCTCTGAAAGAAATGATTTTACTGACTTGTAGTGTTACAAGCTAGAAAATGAAGTCAAAATCTAAACTATAACCTGGCAAGTACAATCCCCTCCACATTTCCAACCTCCTGAGCTAGCAGCACCTCTTAATTACCAGTATCATGGAATATATCAAATACTCTGGAAAAAAAGGAATTGCTAGTACAGATCAGAGAGGAACATCTTCAGCAAATATTACTGTGTCAGAATTGTATTTATTGTAGAAAACTGTTTAATAATTCCCTGAGATCATGCAAAATGTATTGCAAAATATAGCCAGTGCTACTGAAATAGATTGTTGAAAAGTGTACTTTTCCACACAAAATGAATTAAAAAAACCCACCATATTTCCAAACCCTATGAAAAATGGCAGACTGATGCTGCAGAGCTGACTTTAGTAAAGCAGTGCCAGCTTTCACTTGCTGGTATGTGAGAGCCTCTTGGTGTTATTCATCAAGATGTGTTTTCAGTTTCTTGTTGTTATTAGGTAGCAGGAGTAGTAACAATAACAACAATAATAATGAAAGACTATTAAAAGCTAAAGTAATGGCAAAAATATGACATTTTAAAAGAATCCTTTGGACGTATTTTGCACAAATAATTCCCTAACATTTTAATAGGTCAAAATTTAATGTGAGGAGAGACTCTTTTGGTGTCGCAATATCTTTTTGGGAAGAAATGCCATAAGAATGGCTGCTGCAAAGGCTTGGACACATTTAAAAGATCAAGTGTTGGCCTCGCCATTGATTCTATGCGAACAGACCAACTGACATCATCTGGGGCTCTGCACAGGCACAGTCATGGTATCTGCTAATAATTGTAGGGCTGAAGCTTTACGGTGCCTGACAAACCTTTCTCAATATTCAGAAACAGTCTGTGATGATGATAAATAATTTACACCAAAATACATGAAATAAAAGAGAAATCCAGAATAAAGGTGTCCTTGGTAATGAAAGAAAAGGAAGGGGATTTGGTGATATTTCAGATTAAAAATATAATTGAATTCCACTGTCCCTGTTAGCTGATAGCTAGTGTTTTGTAGTTTAAGATGACTTAAATTGACAGTATGATAGTTTGGTTGTTTGTGGGTTTTTTTAACTGCGTTTCTGGTGTGATTTTTATAGGAAATCTGACTATTATAAGGGTCAACAGCAAGACTCCTCTGAAAAAAAGTGTATTTCTTCTATTTCTGCATAATGGCAACATCTGAAATGGGTTTCTCTAGACATAAAAAAGGGATATAAAAAATATTTCTGTGATCTAAGGAGTTCTTTTTGGCAGGACTCACGATTCAGATATGTTATGATGGCATTTAAGATTACGAGGTGTAAGTCTTGACTCGATACCCTGAAGACAATGAATTCATCATTGCAACCATCACATTCAAGTAGCACAAATCACTCTGTAAGAGCCAGCGTGACTCGGTGATGGGGCCCTGGTCTGTGATTTCTTTTGCTGTTCCGACAGAGCCCTGCTGTGGGGACTTGAGCAAGTTATTTCTGTCCAGAATTGCAAAGGGCTTTAGACATCGAACTCTGTTTGAAAGTCTGGCCCTTCACCCCAGTCTGTCTGTGCCACGTTTTGTCTGCCCTTGATTGCCACAGCCCTCTGATGTACATTTGCAACTACTAGGGAAAAGAAGTCCAGGTCTTGGTAGGGCTTCATGGGAAGGCACTCTGGGCTTTGCTTAGGTGTGCGACTCCAGCAGAAAGCATTCAGTCCCTAGGCAGCAGTTTGGTATTTGAAAACCTCCCCACTGATGTGGCTCATGTATGCCTCTTACCCAAATACTGGTGGGTAAAGCTGAGTAGATGCAAATGCTGTAACTGTACTTTACCTCAGTGTCTTTGCACTGGGTGAGTTCCTGACTTGGTGTGTGCATATGTGCATCTGCACTAGGCACAGAATGCGTGCCTCAGTGGCATGAGTACATCCTTAGTGATATTTACACTGCAGTAGCAGCTGGAAGCCTTGCCAAGCCCAGAGCCCCATGGTGCTAGACGCTGCTCAAACACAAGAGAAGGAATGGCCCTCCTGTGGGCATGAGGTCTTCATCCTGCTGCTCCAGGGCTGTGTACTTCAGGCTGTTCAACACTGTCTGGAGGTGCCTGAGCTTGCTTGTGTACAGGTAGGACACTACTAATCTTCAAGCCTTGCAGCAGAGCTCTGCCACGTTGCCTGTCCTGGCTGTGCACGCTGCTGCTCTGTGGGTGATTCCCAGCTTGCCGGCACACTCAGCAGAGCCTCAGTTGCTCCAGCCGAGCTTGAAGGGCTTTTGAGGTAAGATGCTGGACTGCCATCTGGGATATCAAAAGTGAAGATAACTGTCTGGTTTTGTCGATTCTGCACTGGGGCATTTATCATTAAGGCAGGGGCAGCTGCATACATAAAGGCAATAAAGGCTTAAATTGCCCAAGCAAGGCTTATCCAGATAACATCTGCCCATTTTCTTATTTTTCCTGTCACTGTGAAAGGATGATTAGCATGAGCAGAGCTACAGTCACGTGCTCAGAAGTTGGGTTGGTGTTATACAGCACGACACGTGTGATATTACCTCATATTGTATTCACACACCTACTTGCCCATGCTGTGGGTAGTAAAGTGAGCAGTACAGTGAAAGTGAGAGTTACGGGCTATGTAGACCATCACAAAGTATTGCAAGAAACTCATGCCCTGTAACCCACTTCACTGAGTATGTGGTATGTAGCATATATTCAGTAGAAAGGAAAATGTACTCGTATATTTGACTCGGAAGTATTTGGAGTATTCTTGCCCCTGTACAACTCTCTAAACCGATTGGGCTTTGGAAGTTCATCCGGGAAATTTGGAAAATGCCAAGTTTCAGGAAAAAAAGACCTAAAAAGCATCCTTTTATATCCTGATAAGGCTAAATTTTCAGAATCTACAGAGGCCAGCAGAAAGTCTCCTAATGAATGCGGGATTGGTTTATTTTTGTTTTTCAGGGGAATAAAACTGTTTGTAGCCATGAATAATAGTAGAATATCACACCCAAAACATCTAATGGCACAGAAGAGACTTCTATCCAAGCCTTGCATCCCAAAGGACTGGGATTTTAGAGGAACTGAAGTGTTTAGGGTAAAGGTGGAAGTATGTTCCTAGCCGTTTTGTTTCCTCAAGTGTTAGGTACCTCAGCATGAATTCTAATTGTGCCAGGTTGAGCTGAGTTAATCAGATTCTAGCAATATCTGTGTTACAAAATGGTGTGTGATATGGCAGTATGAAGTGGTAAATACAAACATAATCTGTGCTTGAATGTGGGGTATAGCTTTAGAGCAGAAATTGCAATCTTGGGCACAATAGTGAGCATGTGATGGCATTTTTCTGCATTACTTTCTGTAGCAAAGTCCTCCTGTTACTAGTGTAAGTGCAGGTGCTAGTGAAAATGCGCTTAGGTCCCAAGAGACAGTGTTTTCTGACTGAATTTATGAACAGAACTAAGGCTGCTATGAATAAATAACTGAAATGCTACACAAAAGAACCATTATTGACCCACCCAGAAGGGTTTGACACCAAAATGATTTTGGTGCCAGTGCTCTTATTTTCAAGCAATATGTGCTTAGAATTCAGCATGGTTAAATTTTCATGACACATACACCAAAAGGCAAGGTGTTAAAGCATTCAGACACTCTGCCTTATTTATAGCACCTATCCATCCTTTCCCCCCCCCCCCTTCTCTTACAGTTAATAGAAAGATTCATGATTCTTCATGGTTGTCTGTCTAGCGTCTGACAGTGCCGACTGCCCTGCTAGAGCAAGTCACTATCTATAATTGATATCCTTCTATGGAATAGGGTACCAGCTGCAATTGAAGGGTTTTGCTGAAAGCTCTTAAATCCTGACAAGTTCTGCCCTTGTTCTGGTTGTCTCTGAGCTGCACTGCTGGGATCCCAGGGCTGTTTGAAGTTGGTGCAAAAGGGCTGTTGTGTGTGTTGCACATTAGCAAATCAAAAAGTTAGGGAGCCACATTAGAGCCACCACTGCGTTCGCCTGCCAGGTAGTCTTATTTGCACTCCTGAAAAGATTGCTTATGTTACTGTTTGAACATGTGTACTATAGGTTTCTTTCTTTCCCTTCTTCTTAAAAGGAAGAAAAAAAAGATCTTATTTATTTTAAAACCTCAGTTTGCTGCTGGGGTCTTTATCATTCAGCTGTTTAATTAATTTCTCTGCCCAGCGAGATATTATAATTGGGCTTAGCTGAGCTCAAGTTTGTTTTAAATATGTGATAAATGCACTTGAGCGCCCAGAAGCTAATAAGATACTGTATATTTTTATAAATCTGGTTTTTGTTGCAGTTTGTCTGGGTTTTTTCCCCCAGAAATCAGTTTAAGAATAAAATCTTGCAGAAGGGTTAGACACTAAAGATAAAAGTTTGTT